CATGTCCAATTTGTTTTATTTTTTATTTTTGATAGCGCGGTTCGACTGCACGCACAGAGAACAGTCAGAATCCGCATAGAAAACTGTGAACTCGAAAACTTTTTTCCGGTGGTAGTGGTTGTGGGGGGGGGTTAGTGGCAGTTTTACAGCAACCATGGGCATCGGCAGACATGGATAACAGCATACCTGGCCATCAGCAAATGGAGGAGAAGAAAAAGAGGACGAGAAGAAGTAGAGGAGGAGGAACAGTGGAGAAGGAGAAGAAGAAGACACGGAGGGGGTGGAGAGGAGAAGAAGAAGAAGAAGAGGAGGAGGAGGAAAAGAGGAGAAGGAGAGGAAGAAGATGCGGAGGAGGAGAAGAAGAGTATGAGGCGGAGGAGGGGTAGGGGGTTTCTGAACTTTTCTCAAAAAAGAAAAACGAAGGGGGACTGTTAGACATTTTTGTAAGTTCTCTTCCAAGTTCCAACAAAAAAAAGAAAGCAAAGTGGAGCTACCTGTGGACCAGAAATCCCAACAGGGCCACATGTATCAACAAGGTAGGCTGGAACCACATTACGAGGAAACCTCAGGAAGGGGGCCTTGGGGTAATCGACTCCAAACAGGAGTCCATATCACTGCAGATGGAATAGATTATCAAGATCCTGATCAGACAATCCCTCCCGTGGACCCAGATGGCTCTAGACAGCATCAGAAACCTGGCGCCCGTAAACTCTCACCTGAACATGAGAGGTCTTTACTGGCTCATGGCGAAGGACTGGGCAATCAAATCAGGCAGATCCCGCAGGAGAAACCCTGCAGAGCCCGTCACAACCCCACTCGAACAGCCACCTCATACTGCAGTCCGACCATCAAAGCCTGGTGCAAAATGATGCCAAGGAAACACGGCTCACCAGGAAACAGAGAAGAGGTCCTGAGACAACCTCTCTTCTGCAACCCTTGGATCACCGACCCCAGCAGAGTGACATGGACACTATGCACAAAAGACCGAAGATGACTATCCTGGGTGGAAAAGGCGTGTGGCAGGTGAAACACATCTTGGCAGAGGACCAAGGACGATGGGCTACCGAACAGGAACTACGAAATGTCTTAAAGGGCTGTCACTCCCTAGCTGAAAACCTAACGTTGATCCAGAAGAGTATCCCAATACAATGTCTCTCCCTTCTAAGGAGGACTTCTCGTGGAAATCCGGGGATAGGGGCATACTCATCTCTCAAACCCAGCCTACTAGAGCATATCGATTCATCTCTCGAACCAACCCACTCAGCTACCATTCTAAATTCTACTCATACCCCATCGCTAATCACAGCCTACAGGAGTTGGAAACCCAGAACAAAGATCCTCAGTGCGAGACACTAGAAACCTTTCGACTGAGAAAAGTGAGGGTTTCTAAGGCCAAACCCTGGAAAAACTTCCAACCGGACCTCAACGTTTCAGACCTCGAATTCGACCCGATAGAGTGGGTTTGGAAGCAGGGCAAAACCGGGAGAACGAGAACGAAATCCGAATATGATGTCAAATTCGGGTATGAGCTGGGTCTATGAACCACGGATCCGGACCCCAGACTCCAAGGAAGGTGGAGGGAGATCCTGAATCTGGACCCCACAGACCCCATTTCCATCCCATGGACGAAGTACCTGACTCTAAGACCGGTCAGAATTCGAAGCATGCAATGGCTCTTGGCGCACGCATCGCTACCGGTCAATCAGTGGCTCCATAAGAGGAGGAAACAGACGGACCCAGACAGCTCTGAACTTTGCTGGCTTTGCACAGACAACACCCCGGAAGACATACCCCACTGCCTCCTGTACTGCACGGAAGCAGCATGGATTTGGAACAAGGTGCACGGCCTCTGGTCCCTACTCTTCTCATCACCCCCTCCGCCCACAACTCCCCTTAACATCCTGCTCCTCTCCAGCAGTACTAACAATCTCAAAGGCGGCAAGGAAGTCTGGTTTCATCTGCTCAGAAAGCTGGCCCTTCGGGTAATCTGGAAAAGGAGATGTGCCACGACTATCCAGCAACAAAAGGCCGACCAGAAAGGACAGCCGTAAAGAGACGGGCGTTCATGAGAAACTGTCTTCTACAGGGAAAGATCGCAACCGTGACAGATAACAGATTGCTTTGGAAGAACTGGCATAGCACACCGCCAACAAGGACGGTGGCCCAGTGATGGGCAAACTGAGATTTTCATCTCATCGGTTCAGACAACTCTCCCCTTTTCTTGCTTTATACAATCCAACCGACAGAGTCACATTAGATTATGAGAGGAAAAGTGGCAGGGCAAGCTGACAGTCAATCCCCCAGATATGGGGCAATCAATGCTGGTCAGTTCCTTCGGCCAGACGGAAGGAAGCGTGAGAGTGTTCACCATGTATCTCATTTTTGACTTGCCGGTGGAAAGGAACTGGACTGACGCTCCCCAGAATGAACATGGAGTTTCAAAAAAAAAAAAAAAGAAAGAAAGCAAAGGGGAGCGGAGGAGGAAAAGATAACAAGGGAAGAGGAGGATGAAGAAGAAAGAGGAGGTGGAGGAGGAGAAGAAGTAGAGCAAGTGGAGAAGAAGAACACACTGCAGTGCGGAGGAGAAGAAGAGTGGGAGGTGGAGGAGGGGGAGCGGGAGGGGTTTGATCCTTCGCGTCATGATGACAGGCATGGGGGGGGGAGAAGGCGAAGGTTGGGGGTTCTGTCGACGGGCGGGGTCGACTTTTCCCCAACCAAAAAAAAAAAAAAAAAACTGAAGGGGAGTGGAGACGACTAATGGATTACAAAGGAGAGAAGGAAGAAGAGGAGGAGGAGGAGGAGGAGGAGATGAAGATGATGGTGATGAGTAGGGTAGGAGCAAGAAGTGGAGGACGAGGAGGAGGAGGAGGAGGAGGAGGAGGATGTAAGAAGAAGAAGAAGAAGAAGAAGAAGAAGAAGAAGAAGAAGAAGAAGAAGAAGAACAACAACAACAACAACAACAAGAGGAGAAGGTGATGGCGATGATAATGATGAATAGGGGAGGAGGCAGAAGTGGAGGAGGAGGAGGAGAAGAAGAAGAAGAAGAGGAGGAGGAGAAGATGGCAATGATCATGATGAATAGGAGAGGAGGAAGTAGCGGTGGCGGCGGAGGAGGAGGAGAAGAAGAAGAAGAGAAGAGCCTTGCCTCTCTCTCTCTCTCTCTCTCTCTCTCTCTCTCTCTCTCTCTCTCTCTCTCACCTGAAGTTGCGATGCTGGGCTCGCGCTGCGGAAAGGAGCAGAGGGCAACTCAACGATGGTGATGGTGGGCTTGCGCGGCACATCTCCGACGGACTAATGGCATGGCGGGGTCGCGCGGCGCTGGGCGGAAGACTTCCATCGAGTAGGCTTTCGAGCCAAGTCCAGCGCCTGCTCCCATTTGAATCGTGGCCAATCTTGGCCCCCCATAAACAAAGATCAGCAGCCAAGATTGGCTGTTTTTTCTTCTTCCCCATTGATGGGCCTACCGGCCCCGGTTTGTGTTTTTTTAAGCAGCAGTGGGTTCTACTAGACCCGAAGAAAAACCTAGGCCAACGGAAAAAAGTTTCCCGCCCCCAGCAGAAATGCGCTGGGGGGGAACCGGGAGCCCACCGGGACGTGCGACCGGCCGGTCCAACCGGGAGGCTCCCAGTTGGGGGAGGAGTCCCCGGTCCAACCGGGATTCAACACTGCTGTAAAACGATCTGGAATCTTCATTGCCACAGCCCCACTGCTGTGGAACAATCAATGGTTCAAGATGACCTGTTGCGGCGAAGCTCGCAGAAACAAATATGAGAGGTGATTCATTCATGGTGGAGGCCAATGATCGATGCAATCTCTCTCTCTCTCTCTCTCTCTCTCTCTCTCTCTCTCTCTCTCTCTCTCTCTCTCTCTCTCTCTCTCTCTCNTCTCTCTCTCTCTCTCTCTCTCTCTCTCTCTCTCTCTCTCTCTCTCTCTCTCTCTCTCTCTCTCTCTCTCTCTCCCTACTATTACGCCCAGGCCTCGCTATCACTCTCTACTGCGCCATCTAAGGCTATGGGGCCCAGCGCTGTCGACTACTTCCTTGCCCGCCATTGTTCACATGTCCAAGATCTTGGCACGTGATAATGCAGCAGCACTTCTGCATAATCCAAAATCGGAGAAGAGGAGGTTCCTGGCGCTAAAAAGCATCTGCCTACTCTTCGCATTTGATTCCTGCCCCTGTCTATCAGGCCCTGCTGCGGCCGACAAAGCTTCGGCCTGCCGTGGGGCCCTTCCTGGGCCTGAGCTGCGACATGACCAGGACTGGAGGTGTGGCGACTCCCTACCTACTGACTACTAGGCACTTCTACTGTTCCCACTGGCCTTATCCTATGGGATCCTCTATTTTGGCCTTTACACTACCTACCGGAAAGTTCTTCGGGTGGCACTGTGGTACAAACGGAAATGGGAGGTGGTGACGCGGTACCGGGGCCTTCCTGCGGAGGCGCGTGAGTCCCTTCATCTGTTATGTAACTGATTTTAGTTCCTGAAAGGGAATTGTATGCTCTTGTGGACTTCCTATTCATACTTTGCTGCTTTTTATTTTTCTTCCCCATCAACGTTCTTTGCTGTGTTTTTTATGCTCTTGTTTGCTAAAGCCAGTCAATGCAAATGATACTGAATCCATTGCAGATATTCCTTTTTATGTTTTCTTTAAGGAGGCAGTACTGCAGACCCTACATCGCCAAACCTATTCTTTTCGCTATAGAATGAACTGAAGTGGTCCCCGCCAGACTGGTACATTGACAGCGCAGCCTGCTTGTGTATGACCTATAATTTTGGAGGCCAGGGGCCCAGGACGAGTGCTGGTGGTTTAAACAAAAGAACCCTGATAGTCACTGTTATGTGTGGGAGGATTCCTTTTTTTTTTTTTCTGGGAACATTTCTCAATTTCGTGTGTGTTGCGCAGAGGCCATGCTAATCCTCTGTGTATCATTCCTATTTTGACGGCTGTGATATTCCTAGAGAGTTTGTTGACGTCGCAAGCATGTTCTGCGGTGCAGGTACTTGTGGAGTGCCCCGGTGACCTAAAAAAACACTACCGACACATCTCAAAAGGTGCTTGGCCGTTTTCCACCGCTGACCATGGATGGCCAATTTCTGATTGTACTTCAGAGGGCCTAAAGGTATGATGTTGATGTGTACGTAAAGGTTCAACAGCAAAAAGGTCTTCCTTGTCATTGGCCCTGCAACAATCAAATGTCTCTGATTTGTCTGAAGTTTTCTCTTGATTTCTTCTCTTTCATCTCTCTCTCTCTCTCTCTCTCTCTCTCTCTCTCTCTCTCTCTCTCT